GGGGTCAGGGAGCCAGGGAATCAGGGCGTCAGGGGGCCAGGGTGACCGGGTTTCAGGGAGTCAGCGAGGTGCTGCGGGGCCTCGCACCCTCCTGGGCAGGAGGCTCACGCCATCTGGCCTCTGACCTGGAGCCTCGGAAGGGACCGGCCAGCGCAGGGTTTGCAGCGGCTCCATCTCCTCAGCCTGCAGCCACAGGCGCCCCTTCTGTGTGTCCCATGGCCTCTTTCTTTCTAGACAGTGATGGAGCTAAAAACCACTCACCCGGCCAGTGCTGAGCAGGGTACAAAAGGCCCGCGGGATGGGTGCGGGGCGTTCGGGAGAGCAACAGGCTCAGGGAGCGAGAGTAAATGGGCACCGTGAGAAAGCACCGAGGGAAGGGGCCGCAGGTAGTTCACAGACCAGGACAGAGCTGGGGGACACCGGGAGGTAGGGGGGACCCGTGCTCCACCCGGGCCACACCCAAAGAGCAACAGGGGGGCAGAGACGGAGGGGAGGGCACTTCCTTCCACATTTTTCAGAGGAAAGCATTTCCTCCGAAATGAAGCCAAACCAAAAATTAAAAAAGTGAAATAGCGATTATGAGTGTTTAAATAAAATGTAACACAGAAGGAAAGAAAGAATTCTTTTACTTCCACTTGACCTTGTCCAGATTTTGACAAAGGTTATATTACGTCAGGCCAGCTTTGCTTTATTGGTAATGGATACATTTTCCCAGACATTTCTGAGGAAGAGAGCCCGGGGCCTCCCCCAGGTGGCCTGGCAGAGCGGGAGGAAGGGGCACAGCAAGGGTCGGTCTCCATGATCTTCACACTCACCCCCATGCCCAAAGTGTCTGTAACTTTCACGGTAAACGGCGGATTCGCGTGGCAGAAATCATCGCCCGAGGACAACAGAATTAGGACCAGGAGTGGAAGCCGCTCAGCAGGCCGCCCAGCGCAGGGAAGCACAGGAGCAGCTTGAGGGGGAGGCTTCTGGGCAGAGGGGGCGAAGCCGAGGTGCACACCGAGGGCTCTGCTTTGTACGGTCTCTTTATAACTGGGGGTAAGGTTGTCATCCCTTGGATCTGAAAACGAAAGAGCAGACAATGCCAGTGAGCGGAGGACTGAGGAGCAGGCCTGCGGCCAAGCTTGCTCAGCCCTTGCACTTTTGCAGGGACCAAAGGGGTGGGGGACCGGGGGACAGGTGGCTGCTGAGGCTGTCAGACATCGGACAGTCACAACCTTAAGGGTTCCCAGGGAAGTGGAGAAGAGGCTCAGGCCTAGCTCTGGGATAGAAGAGATACAAAGCAGTGGAATTAGGAGTTTTTGACCAACCCAAGCAATCATTAAATAGATCATGAGCTGGATCGTTGTCTTTATGGGTATTTGTTGCTTAGATTTTACCTGGTGTGGATTCAGGTAAAATGTAACACCTGTTTTCCCCTCTAAGATTAAAACAAAGCCGGGCTTACCGACCACTCTGCATTGTCCATCTTGGAGCATCTCACATTCACCTGCAGGCTAAGGACGAGCTTGTTGAAGGACAGACCTTCCTTTTTAGTCCATTTAAACTTATTCATCGCATCCATGAAGGAAAGATTTTTATATTGTTTGGGGCTTTTGATAATGAAAGGCCAGGTCCTGAATTTAAAATAAAAAAACCACACAATTAGTCATATTCAGAATCAAAGCATTACATGTTTCCATTACTTTTCAACAGACCTCACACTTGTTCATTCTTACAAACATAGATGACCTGATGCAATGCACTGATGAACTCGTCACCAGTTACTAGAGGAAATACATACCAAAGAAGGAGCATGAGACTTTGTAAAACATGAAATACCTTATTTTAGTAGCAGATGGGTATTATTTTTAGACAAATAATTTTGGCTCAGAAAGCTTCCCCAGAGCCTCACAGTTCTTCATCTATTTGTTTTGGGTCTAGTTAACAATGCAGCTGGTAGGCAAACAGTTCTAAATAGTGAAATGCTAATGGTGAAATAAAGAAATGTGTAGGATCTTAAAAGGCACTGGAACTGAAATTTCAGTTCCATGCAGTTGAGAAGCCTGACCCCTAGTGGCTGCCCTGAGTTGGCTTGCTGACATGGAGATAAATCCAAAAGATCTGAAAATGAGTCAGTGTTTTTAAAATTTTACTGAGAGAAAAAAATATTTTTCAGATGATATGTTTTGCCTCTGCTTGCTGCTCTAAAAAAACCTCCCAAAACATATTAAATGTCCAAGAAAGAATAAATCATAGAAGAATCACAAGACCTGTGTGAAAAGATGCTCTTCGTTGGGTATGTTTATATTATTGATTCCTGAGAAAAGGAAAAGTATGTGCTGACACATAACAAAAATTTACATAAACTAATCTGTGGGCCTTCCAGCAGATTACCATGGGTATCTGGCTCCCATGACGCCCCAAGAAGATGTTCCAGTAATTACCAAACCATTAACCTCCAGCGGGGGAAGCTACATTTTAATATTTGATCTTCACAGTTTCTTCTCTTATACACATAACCTACTCAGGCACACTGAATATTATCTTTTTAAGTAAATTAAACATCCTTTATTAATTTTTTAAGTTATAAAGATAAATTTTTAATGTCTAAATTAAAATTATTTCCTCCATACACTAGTACGTAATACAGTGAAACAGCAATGCATAATATACAATGACTTTTCTATTCTTCAGTCCTAATTTCCTTTTTTCCTCTAATTAAAGTCAATATGTCTTTGTTAAGTTTTAAATGCACTATTTTGTACAGAGACTTTACGGATAAATGCCATAAAGAAGAGCATTCATCATCACTCTACATTAAGCATATGTATCAATGACCTAGAATCCATCACGTTTTAAAACTGAACATGCTGCGAAGACTTGCAGAGATGCCATTCAGAATCAGTATAAAACAGAAACTTGACTTGAAATAGGCCTATTATGTTTACATACAATGTCCTTTTAAATACAATAAAAGCTACACCTCGGTTTTATTAAATATAAAATAACTTTAAAATGAAATATTAAAAATGAGATTTGCTTTCCAGAAAGGTAAGGTATCCATGTGGAAAAAAAGGAAATCAACTTCCTAACTAGGGAAATACTGAGAGGGGAGTGCGGGAGGGTGGTGGTGGTGGAATCATCAGCCCGTAACCACAAGGTGGCACCAGAGTCTCTGCTAACGGCCTGAATTCAGCGGCCCAAATCCTCTGAATTTTCTGCAGACTTGCTGATAAGAATCACTACTGCATTATTGTACATAGATACAATCTTAAAAAGCTTTGCTGCTAGAATATATTAGTAAACTGGGTTTTTTTTTGACACGAGGTACAAACACTTATTAACTAACTATTAATATGTGGAAAGGATGTCAAAAGGGAAAACCCAGTGGCTCATATGTTGGAGACAGCACAGCATGACTGAGTAAGCTCAGGATGGAGGCACCAACCACTCTGAGATGGCATCACCCTCTCATGTCTGCTGTCTCCTTCCCAGTCCTACTAACTTGGTTCCGCTACATTTCTGCACATGAGGGCCGTATGTAAATGTCTACCCAGACAAACATTTTTAAAAGGGTATTGTTTATATATCACTGTAGATGACAAAAATAAATCACGTTAATATTATTTAATATTTGACTCAGTTTTCTTTGTAAGTTCAATCTAATTCACAAGTTGATGTAAAAATATATACAAAAATGAAATAAACTTAGACTATCCAAAATAACTTTGGAAAAAGAAAAAAAATGACAACTTTGGGGATGTACACCCTCTTAAAGACATACTATAAAACTATAATAACTGAGCGTGGTATTATATTAAGCCTAAACATGTACAATGATACAGAATTCAGAGTCCAGAAATAGTCAGTACATGGTTAAATAATTTTCAACAAACATTCCAGTGTGATTCAACAGGAAAAAGGTAGGTTTTTTTTTTCATCAAATGCTTCTTAAACAACTTGGTATCCATATGAAAAATAATGAACCTCAGCATTTAACTCATGCCACACATACCATACTTATTTAAAATGTATCATCAACCCAAATGTAAATCCTAAAACTGTAAACTTCTTTCAGAAAAAAAAACACAGGAGAAAATCTTCCTGACCTTCGGTAGACAACGAGTTCTTACAGAGGATATCAAAAGCACAAAACAGACTATAAATGATACAATGGACTTCAAAAAATAAAGCTGAAAAAGGAAAATCAAACCACAGACTGGGAGAAATTATCAGTAAAAATATATCTGACAAAAGGCTTATATCTAAAGTATAAAGAACTCTTTAAAAGCATAAAAAATTTTTACAAATCAACAATAAAACAACCCAATTAAACAATGGACAAGATATTTGAACAATTAAAAAGGAACATGTATAAATGACCAATAAGCATGTGAAAAGAGGCTCAACATTGTTAGTCATAAGGGAAATGGAAATAAAACCATAATAAGATATCACACTACATACACACTAAAATAGATAAAATTGAAAATACAAAGCCTTGAGAAGACTATTAAGCAGTAGGAGATCTTATACATTACTGGTGAGAATGTAAAAAGGTCCACAATTTTGGAGAAAATGCTGAGAGTCTTATGAAATAAATGTAAACTTAGTATACAATCCAGTGATTCTACCATTAGGTATTGACCCCAAAATTTGAAGACATATGTCCGTACAAAGACTTATACAATAGTGTTCATAGCAGCTTTCTTCATAAAAGCCAGAAACTGGAAACAACCCAAATGACTTTTTAACTGGTGAACTGATAAACAAACTTGGGTGTATCCACAGGGGAATACTACTCAGCAATGAAAAGGGATGGACTGCTGAGACTCGTACCAGCATAGATGAATCTCAGAAACCTCTAAGTCAATAAACAAAAACAAACTAAGCACAAAAGAGCACATACTATCTAACCCCATTTTTATAAAATCTAGAAACGATCAAACTAGTACAGTGACATAGAGCAGGTTCAGTTTCACAAGGCTTGGTGTGCAAGGTGGGCTTGTCTCCAGACAGGCCCAAGAGAACTTTCAGGGGGATGGAACCACTCTATATCTCGTCTGTGATGGGGCTGAACAGGTGTACACATCTGAGAAAACTTTCTAACAAAAATAGGTGCCTTTGATTGCACATAAATTCTGCCCCAAGCAATTTGACTTTTAAAATAAGTAATCAAACAGAAATAAAAGCCTATCAACAAGCCAACGAAAAAAGACACAACATAATGCCACAAACTTTACAATCCAATTGTTAAAGAAGGGAGCCAGGAAATCTGATTTAACAGGTTACAACTCCTAATCCTCCTGACACCTCTAAGGAAATGGGTGCTGGGAACACACAGTGAGGGTGGGTCCCCCTGGTAAGAAGTGAAGGCTCAAAGGCGGCGACAGATTGGACAGCAGGATGTAAGACCCGGGACATTCCTCCATGGAGAGCGGTTCAGCCCCCACCAGTTAGGAAACTTCTCCAAATAGATTTTTAACAAAATTTGAGGAAGGATTAACCCATGCACTGGAATATAGAGTACACAGTCCCACCTCTACACCCACAGCCCTTTGCCATCAAAACATTCAAAAGCACGCACATAAAATATATCACCCAAACCTCTAACTGCAGTGAGGTGAGAAAGCGAGCTACTCCCAGGTTTGTTCAGAAGGAGTCAAGAATTCACCTGTATTTTATCAAAGAGAAGTTTGAGAGAGAACTGACTCCGCAGAACTAAGAAATAGCCCCGCACACCCAGGGCGCAAAGGAGGCTATTCCACACTCCAGGTAAAAAGACAGAAAAAACCTGACTCTAGAAAAAAATATAAACCTGTTATACTGGTGACAACCCCCACAAGTGTTTCACGTAATAAACTTATTTAATACGAGCACGGATTCGATTTAAAAAGAGCTCGAACAAAAGATGGAACAACAGAGTGAGATGCGAAGGGAGACAGCAGCCCAAAGGAAACAAACTGAAGACAAAACATGAGCAGCAGCTACATTTTTAAGGAGCAAAAGAGCACGTCTGAAAAATTTTAGAGAAAATTCTTGAAAAGAAATCCCAGAGAGATTAGGAAAAAGTCTGTAGATATTAACAAAACTTCCCTGAAGTGAATATATGTCCTGAAAGGACACTCGGAGTTTCAGGAAAGTCGGATTCAGACGCTCGGCGCTGAAATATGTTCAACTTCACTTACGCGCTCCGCAGGCAACGGGCCAGAGCCCCTCCCATGCACCGGAGAGATCTCTGGGGGGACGTGCACCCCAAGTATCGTACCCAGGCAAACGCCGCCCAAGTGTAAGCGCAGGAACCCTCGCATGTGGGAGCGCGCAGGGCGCAAGGACCTGGGCGCCTCTCCTGATGGAACAGCCCGAGCGGGCGCTGGGCACCGACGCCGAAGGCCTCAGAAACGGGGGTCACACAAAGACTCGGATCGCCACCGAATCCATTTAAAAGTACAGCTGCCCGAAACACTGTTAGAATTAGGGTTCCAAATTAAATACGAGCATTAAAAATCTTGAAGATACACAATTATAATATAAGTAGTAATTATTTGGAGGTGTAGACAAGGATGGTCGGAGACCATGTGAACGTATGAACACCCTCTCTTTCTTTTATGAGCTAAAATTAAAACATGTTGTTTGGGGGGTGGGAGGGGAAGAAAAGAGAAAAAAAACAAACAAAACAAAAACAAGAAAATAATCAACAAAAGAAACCTCCGACGTTTAAAAAGTAAAGAAAAAAATAAAAACAAAAAACACCAAAGAACAAACAAAAAAACCCAACCACATAGTTTTTTAAAAGCGGGTGTAACATCTACATGTTTTGTACAATCTGTTTTCTCAGTCTCTGTGAGCCCCTTTACTAAATGCTGTCTCTTGTGGTTAAAAACAACAGCCACATTGATTTGAAGTTCAACGACTGTTTAGTTTTAGCTCCGTACCTTTTTCTTCTGATAAATTAAAACCAAATTAAATTTTAGTGTTTTTGTTTAAAACAGTGAACAAGTTATAATTTTTGTAACAACAATCTATTCATCTTTATATTAATACCTACACAGAAAGATGTCTGCAATAACTTTCAACTGGTGTTAGTATTTTTTTTCTACCAGAATTTGAGCTGATGGCTTTTATCTTTAAAAAAAAAAACAAAACCTTTTCTGCATTACTTAAACTCTTTATAATAAGCATTTGTCATTTTTACACATTATAAACATAAAGTGATTTTTCCTATAAAGAAAAAGAGAAACACCCCTCCTGATTCTTTTTTAGAAACAACAATAAACACAGGAGTGCTCCATCATATAAACCTGTCTGGAAGGGCACAGATGTGTGGCACTGCACAGAATAATTTATCTAAACTCACTATCTATTCTGCTGTCTAACCTGTGTGAGTTTAGTTCTTTAAGCCTTGCCAGATCTGTAGGAGGCACAGAAAAACTGCATCCCCCAGAACAGACAAACCCTGAAACAGGATGTAGTTGTCATTATTTTTCTACCAAGTCTTCCTCTAATCTTAGGATTTCTATGGAATGTTTCAAGTGAAATAGGGCACCTAACTAATTATTATATTAATAGCACAAAATAAGAGATTTGGGCTTATATGTTATGCGATATTCCTTTTTGGTACTGTGCCCTGAAACCAAATTAGCAATTTTCTTTTAAGCAAAACACAAAAAGCACCCAAACCATTCCTCTCTTTCTGATCTTTTAACCCGTCCCTTGCTATGTTTGGCCTTCAATAATATTTTTATCACCGTGATGATGAACTGAATTGAAAGTTTGATTTAAAGTCCAAATATATATTTTATAACATATGTTTTTGAAGAATAAATATATTTAACCTGTAGTTAAAATGGTTTTATGTGGGCAATGATATCTCAACAGTGGTCTTGTTCTGTGAAGCAATTCTCCTGTCCTTCCAAGTGATGAAAAACCCAACTTCAGTATTTCCTGGGCGGGGGGACCGAAGGCATGGACACTGGCAAAGCTCACTGGGATTTGGAAACTGAGCATTTTCAGAGTCTTCACACAAGATGAACACAAAAGAAAAACAAGACTCTATCCTAGTGTTTTTAGAATGACATTTAAGTGCTGTTTTGATTTTTATTAATATTTTATTTATATATAATTATTTCTTTTTAATAAAAGGCAGATATATATACACACACATATATATAAGTCATAGACCACACTACAAACCCCATCTCTGCCATTTTTTGTGAATTACAGAATATTGAACAATTTCTTAATCTCTCAGTTTCCATTTCTTCCTCTACAAAACTAGGATTGCAAGTCCTGCTCTACCAACTGGAATTGTGTGAAAAATAACTTACATGAAATCATGCATTTGAAAATACTTCATAAACTACAAACTAATTTGCATAAGCATTTTGTTATCTGTATATTAGTAGATCCAGACTTCTGTCCTGGTGGTCACTGGGTTGTCTGGGTAGAAACTCAGTAGAACACATCTATAAATAGTAAGTTTAATTTAAAAAGAAGAGTCTTTTTAGGTGATATTTTATAATCCCTATAATATTTAGAAACAAAAAGTAGGCCATCACTGTATTCTCCTTCAGCATCTGAATTTTACCACATCCTCACTGCTCTTTCACCCTCTCCTTAAATACAATCCTCAAAAATCTATGGGTAACTTTTGCCTAATTACATCAGTTTCTTTCACTTTGAAATGTCCTAATCATTAGAAAATTCTTCCCTATTAAGACAAAATCTACATTCCAAAATTCCCACCAGGCATCCTAATTCTGCTCTGTGGTGTTATTTTTTCCTACATCAACCTTAACATATCCAAACCAGAATCTTCAATTTTTTCAAACGAGTTTCCCTACACGCACACCATTACGCCATTCACACGCCGTCCTTTTTCTGTCGCTCTTCTCTGACCAGTGAGTCCAGTGAGTGCTACCTTCAAAAGGCAACCTGAGGGTAACCATTTCCCATTAACTCCACTGCCAGCACCTTGGTCTAAGGCGCCCTCAACTCTCACCTGAGCAACCACAAGAGTCTCCTGCTGGTGGTGTTCTTTCCAATCTTGCCCTTCTAGAGTCTCAACAGCCAAATTGACTGTTTGAAATACACTGCAATGGTTTCCCTTTGCACTTAAAACCCTAAGTTCTCAGGTTGACTGTAAAGTCCTCCATGATCTGGTCCCACTTGCGGTCAGACCTCCTCACTCATTCCCGCCTGTATTTCACTCTGCTCCAGCCAAACTCACCCTCTCGCCGCTCTTTGGACATATTAGCTTCATACCCACCACGGGGTCATTACCCGGACTCTTCTCTGCAGAGTACACCGGGTTACCTTTGCATGGCTGGCTTCTCATCACCTAGGTCTCTGCTCAAAAATGTCACCTCCGGCCATAGGTTGAACGTATGTGTCCACCCAAAACCCACATGTTGAAATCCTCATGCCCAATGTGATGTTATTAGGAGACGAGGCCTTCTGGAGTCTCTGCCCTCATTTACGGGATCGACGGCCCTATAAAGCAGCTCGAGGAAGCTCCCTGGCTCCCTTTGCACATGAGGTTACTGTGAGAAGATGACTGTCCATGAGGGAGTGGGGTTTTACCAGACACTAAGTCTGCCCACGCTTTGAGCTTAGACTTCCCAGCCTCCCCAACTGTGCGAAACCGATTTCTGGAGTTTATAAGCCACCCTGTTCACGGCATTTAGGATACAGCAGCCCCTCTCAAAAGAGGCTTTCACCATCCTTTGGGCAGCAGCTCCACATGTTTTTCACTGTCTCAATTATTTTCACAATATCTAATAGCTGAAATTTTATAGTTATATTGTTTATTTATTTATTGCCTCTCCCTTAATCTAGAATATAATCTCAAATTGGCAGGAATAATATTTATCTTTTATTATTTTATCTTAAGTAGTGCCTATGATACACAATTGTGGAGATAGAGTTAACATAGCTGGCCTGAGATTACTGTTCTTAGAAATGCCTACTTGGATGGTTGACATTTTGCTGGCGTCAGGGAATTTAAATAGTAAACAATTTCCTATATTAATATAAAACTTTCTCTAAATTATAAGAGTGACTAGACTTTTTGTTCAAACAGTATGGTTTATATTGAACACATGTTTTCTTCCTGGGAGTCTGGAACTTAGGTATTTGCTAAGCAGAGGGCACCTACGTGACCAGCCACCAGTAAAAGCTCTGGGCCCTGAGTCTCTGGTGAGTTTCTCCAGTTCACAGCATTTCAAACATATTGTCACAATTTAATGCTGGTGGAATTAGGCACATTCTGTGTGGCTCCACTGGAAGGGGTTTCTTGGGAGCCTGCACCTGTTTCCTGTTGACATTGCCCCATGTGCCCTTTTTCCTTTTGTTCATTTTTCTTTATGTCCTTTCACTGTACTTAATATTATCCATGAGTGAACCCTTTAGGTCCTCCTAGAAAAATCTATGAACCCGGGGTAGTCTTGGGGGCCTTGCACAGAGCAACCAAGAAGCCACCTGGCCTCCCCAGTTGAAAACACTCAAATAGCACAGCGCACAAAGGAACTGCATAACCTGGTGGTAAACCCAGCGTGAAAATAACGTCCGCGCTGCTCGGAAGCACATCAGCGCCACCGCGAAGCCCGGGCGCTCGCTACTCACGTGACTGGCCTGTAGATCTCCTTGACGCCGATGAACTGCAGCTGCTCCATAATGTCCGGGATGCTCGCGCACCGGGCCAGGTTGATTCTTGGGTAATAAAGAAGGTACGAGAGACACATTTCACTCCTGGTGCTCAGCCCTCCCTGAAAACGGAGATGTTGCATTTAGAAAAAGTATGTTCTTCCAACTCCGACACAGCACACAAGCCACCAGGGTCATACGGTTCCTTCCGTCTTACAATGGAATAAATCGAGTTGAAAAATAACCTGAATGACAAAGTAGTTTTTTAAAAGTTAAATTAAGGTACTTCCATAAAATGTGATAATATGTAACCATTAGCAATGTTAAAAAAATATTTTTATTCCTATAGAAAGATGATATTTTATCTAAAATATAACAAAAAACACATGTAGTATTTTACAGATCTGTAAAAATTATGTGTTCAAATACATTCACATACATACATATTTCAAAATGTTACCAATGGGGATTACAGTAATTTTCTTTCTCTCTTTTTTTGTTTCTATAACACTTGGATTCTTTAATTTTCCTGTAATTAACAATGTGTTTTGCACATAGAATATGTGCACCAAAGCTATGGTAAAGAGAATTACGTCCTATTAAAAATGTATAAGTGAAACTGAAAAATGTATAAATGAAACTGAGAAAAATGTATAAATGAAACTCACAAAATGTATAAGTGAAAGTGAAAAAATAAGACTGGCACATTTTAAATTAATAGAATTATTTCCATCTCTTTAAAAGTTGCCTTTCTTAAATAACCTCAAAAACTCCTTAAATTTCTGTTTATGTGATGTTAACTTCTCACCACAGTGAACATTTCAGAGGATTATGGGGGTATTTGGTTAACATGATACCAATCAGTCAGCTTGATATTTGCCAGGTTGCACTGGATTTTCTATAATCTTGTCCTGTGTGTAAACATCAGCAGCTGCATAGCACAGGGGAGACAGATGTATATATTCCTAAACAATATATTGTTTACTTTTGCATGTCCTTGAACTTTAGATACATGATATCATAACTACATATAGCCCGTTGCAAGTTTGCTTTTTTCAATCAACATTATGTTCTTCAGATACATTTGTGTTAATATATGAATGAATGGCCTTAGTTCATTAATTTTCATAACTACATATCTTATATGGACATGTCATAATATATTTATTCGGTTTCCTTTTGATAAATAATTGAGCTGTTCCCAGGTTTTTGTTCCGGGTTGTTACAAGTTACTATGACTATTTTACATAATCTTCTCCTGGAACATTACCTGCAAAAATAACCTCAAGGTTAAATCCACATAGGAATGGAACTGGTTAGAGTATATATCCTTCAACTTCTCTAGAGAATGCCATGGTTTTCCCCAAAGTGGTTTGATAAATTTATATTCAGCAGCATAAATGAGGGGTCCAGTTTCAATACAGTGGAATTACAATTTTAAAAATTGCCAAACTGGTAAGTATAAAATATCTCACTCTGGTTTACATTTGCATGACTCCAGTTTCAAATAAAATCAAGGATCCTTTCATATGTTTATTATCCATTTGGGCTTTTATTTCTATGGAATATTTTTATTTTTTGTTCTTTTTCTTTTGTGTGTTTGTGTTATGTTATCGATCAAGGAAATTTCTTTTTAATGCTGTTTGAATCTATATATTGCAAATATGTATATTTTTCAGTTTAAAACTTCTTTTCAATTACTTAACCATGTTTTTTTTGGTAACCAAAAGCTTTAATGTAGTCAATTTCATCAATTTTTTAACTCATAACTATAAGTGCTTTTTATGTTTTGTTAAAGAGTAGTTACCTACCCCAAAGTCATAAAGATATATTCATATATATTTCTCCTAAAGGTTTTAAAATTTGCTTAGAGAGAGAGAGAGAGAGAATTCATGGATATGGACAACAGTGTGGTGACTGTGGGGGTGGAAGTGGGTGGGTGGAGGTGTTAGAGGGCATAGAGGGGATAAAAGGTGATTAAAAAAATAAAATGAATTAAAAATAAAATAAAATTTTGCTCTTCACATTTAAATATTTAATCTACCTGGAACTGATGTTCTGTATGTTGTGCATGATAGACAGACTTTTATTTTTGGCATTTGGAGGTATAACCGTGCCAGTATTCTTTAATGAAAAGTCCATCCTTTTGTACTTCTCTGAAGGCCACGTCTATCCTAAACCACCTTTCCATATGAAGGATTCGTGGGTCCGTTTCCGGGACCTCTGCTCTGGTCCACTGTTCTAACTCTGGACCCAAAACACACTATTAACCACCAAAGCTTTAAAATAGGCTTCATCTCCAGTAGTTTGTCTCCCATCCTGTTCTTTTTAGTAGTGTCCTGCCTATTATTAACACTTTGTTCTATGTAGATTTTAGAATCAACTTTCTCCATATAAAAGCTAAAACTATAAAAGTGTTAGAAAATTAATATCTAAAAGAATACCTTTGCAGCTGTGGTTAGGCGGAGATTTCTTAATACCAAAATCCCAAATCATAAAATCTCTGAATTTTTTACTGAAATTATATCAAATTTATAGACCAATTTAAATCGGATTATTTTTACTTTCCTAAGCTTTTCTATCTATAAACACAGTATCTCTTAGTTTTTTTAGGTGTTCCTGTAATGCCTTGCAATACAGATTTACAATATTTTCCATAAAGATCAAACACAACTAATGCCACCTTTTATTTCTATAGAAGTTAGAGTTTTTAATTATATTTTTTGAGATAGTTTCTTATAATATTAAAATACAATTAATTTTAGATATTACCAATTTTGAGGGTTTTTTTATGTAGAAAATTACATACCTATGAATAGTGTTTCTCTTCTTTGCTTCTTCCTTTCTGACCTCATACCTCATTTTTTTTCTTTTCCAGTAAAATGCTGAGTAGAAATTGTGATAATAAATACCCTTGTATTCCTGATTTTCAAGAAATATTTCTAGTACTTCGTTTAGTTTGATATTTGCTGTAGATTTTTCATAGCCAATTTTTATCTTGTTAAGAAAATTCTTATTCCTGGTTTGCTAAATTTTCATTCCCCGCCCCCCCCACGAGTGACTTAAGTTTTATGAATGTTTTGTTTTCTTCTCCAATTGAGGTAATCATATATCTTTTTCCTTTAATACAACTGAAGAATAGCAGTAATATATTTTCTAATTTAAAACAATTTTATATTTCTTAGTGAAATCCAAATTGGTCCTAACATTACATTTTTATACAATTTGACAAATTTGAGATTTAGTTTAAGATTATGCTAACTTAATAAAATGAGCTGCTGGGAGATGTGGTCCCTGGAAGAGGTAAGTACGGCATGAACGATCTAATTCTTGAATGTTTGGCAGGAATCCCCAGTAAGTCCATCGGGTCGGAAACCCTAAGGTCATGCCATTCATTCTTCCTTTTGAAGTCTTGATTCATCTAAGTCCAGACTCATGTAGATGGTGATCAGTAACCAAAGGTCTATTATTAATAATATTTGGTGAGGAAAAATAAAAGACCTAGGATAGCTTTTCATGAAAGAGTCAACAAATTATAATGCAAATATTACCACAGTATCATTAGCGATTCTGATAAAATGCTAAAACAGGTCTGATTTCATTTTTATGATGTTTCATGTTCAAGACATTCAACAATTTTGCTTCCCGTTGGGAATGGTTTTCTTCTACAATCAAAGTTTATTCCTCTCTCTCCACAGATAAATGTTAGTAATAGAAATTTTCTTACCCAAGTCATCAGGGCTCTATCTTTTGTGTTGTAGCGACACTCGGTAATTAGATTATCTCCCTGAAATACAAAAGTATGAGCTTTCAGATTGGAGTTCTACGTTGTTTCATTTATTGAATACATTTGTAGGCCAACAGTTTAATTTGCTATGTGGAGGGATGCATTCATTTGATTCGGGAGAACACCCTTGATCTATTAAATTCTAGCATAGTGAGCAAGCAAACAAACAAGGTTCTCTGGCTTCAGGCCGGACTCCACCATGTTCTGGCTGCACGCGACCTTAGGCAAGGAAATGAAGCACTGGGTACAATGTGTCCATCCAAAAAATATTGATGAAAATAGCACATATTTTGCACAGCTGTTGTGCGGGGATGAAATGACAAAACACACATTGAATACTTAGTAGAGATTAAACACTTCATAAGGGCTAACCATAGCTGCTAGACATTGTGATTATGTCTTCATTTACATTATTTTCCTTAAAGGCCTTTGGCCATGTATTTCCTCACAACAGGATTATGAGGCAAATTAATAGTAATTTATTCTTCCTGTGTTTTCCAATCTTTTGGACAGTTCAGCACACATAGAAAGTGATAGTTTTTAGACTGTCCACTCAGGTAAGTGGACGGGCTATGTATGGGTCAGCCACAGCTAGCTCTGGGCCTGAGATCTGCTCTCCTCGCCCTGCTACGTGGAGGGACCAGGGATCAGTATCTCAACCCACTTAGACCCTCCTCCCAGCACACCAGTTGGGAAACTGAGAGAACACAAGAAAACTGGTTGGAAAGCCCCGAGATAACACAACACAATGAAAGAGAGTGTAGACTCTTGACAAGATCAATGTTTCTGGCACTTCATCTTTCTCTTCTCAGGGTGTATCGAGGAAGTTCTGCATGTAGAAAAGATAGAGCTATTACGCCCATTTCAAAAATCGTATATAAGTATTTAACTTTTAAGAATGATACAAGGGCAGAAAATTGCATGACGATCTTGGTGGTCACGGGATAAAAAATTTGAAAAAAATGCAGCAGCACCGAAAAAAAAACACCAAAAAAAAACAACAAAAAAACCTTTTGAAAACCTTCATTACTATAAGGCATAAGACTCTCTTCTGTGTCCTTCTGTATGACCCCAAGTATTGTTGCAAGTGGATTACACAGGACGGTATAATTAGCTATGTCTGCACACCTCTGCCAAATGAAAGAACTGTCCTTATAATCATGTTTACTGAAATGAAACTTCTGAAAAAATATCCTATGGAATAAGGAAACCTCTGATTTTACCATCACCCTAATTGCAGCCAAAAGTTTCAACCGGGGAGTCAATCAAGAAAAGAGTAATGTTAGTGCTGGGAACCCGATTTTTATTTTCTTTTTAAATCAACAACTTGAAGTGCCTCTGGGAATAGTAAGAAAAATGAGTTCTGATTTTGGAAAACAGGTCAAACGCATTCCATCTGGGTTTGTGCAACGCCCATGGTGGGCGGCTTTAAGCATAAGGGTACCAGGAACAGTGCATCCCACCACTAGAAACCTGGCTAATTCTCAGCAGATGTATGTCTCACGACCTTGATAACATTCAGTGAAAAAGAGCAAAACATTCATACTGGTAAGATTGTTCGTTCTTCCTTCAGATACTGAAACTCCTGGAAATTGAAGTCGAAGTTGTCATCGTAAGCAAGTAATCTCATTTCCTCCCCTCTGCGGAAATGCCGCAGGCGGATGCTCCTGCCCGCCAGGTGCGCATGCAGGAGGGCGGCGAACACGTGGATCCCGCTCGGCCTCTCGGCCTCCAGCGCCTACGAATGGGGCGGGAGAGAGGAAGACTCCATCAGCCCGGGGGCGGGAGGGAGGAAGGCTCCATCAGCCCGGGGGCGGGAGGGAGGAAGGCTCGATCAGCCCGGGGGCGGGAGAGAGGAAGACTCCATCAGCCCGGGGGCGGGAGAGAGGAAGGCTCGATCAGCCCGGGGCGGGAGAGAGGAAGACTCCATCAGCCCAGCGAGCGTGTATTCAGACAGTTCTCATGCAAAGAGATGCAGAGGGACAACCGAGAAGTAAAGCTAAAGCGGTGTATGTGAATGTTTGAGCCACCAAACATTTTGAATTTGGATCTCTCATGACATTCCTAGCAGGGTTATCATTCCGAAGCAACATTTGCCAGAGGAAGAGAAAGGGAACGAATGCTGACAGGACCTACTAGACTATTCCTAAATGTCCCCTTTCTGTCTCCTTTGAGGAGGTACAGAGGAAGTCAGAGATCCTGGCAAAAAATATCCCAGTAGGTTAGCAGCCTGCAAGTTAAAACTCGTAAAAGGAGAAATTATTCCCACATTTTCTGATAAGAAAACCAAGTGGGAGAGAGGCTTCGATGACTTGCCCGTGGTCCTACAGGCAGTGAGTGATGTCCTGGCGATTTGAATCCCGGTCTAACCAACTCAGAAGAGCATGCTTCCCTTCAGCGGCCTGCGGCACTCGGCAGCCACACCGCCTTTCAATTCATAAAGGATACGAGCCCTGTTGAAATCCTCTCATTCCAGAGAAAAAACTATCAATGAAAGCAGCCATTGTTAAATACTTATACTCAGATTTATCTTATCCAATGTGTATTTTTATATTAGCTATTCTTGCTCTTTGGTTAAAGAATGGAAGAAAACTACAAAGCAAAGAAAAGCAGAAAAAACTTGAAAATTAATTAATGGAAAAACAAATAGAGATGAAAGGTGAAGCTGAGACAGGAAACTACACAGAGAAAGAGAATTTAAAAGATAAAATACAGCGTCCGATATGAAACAAACAAAGGAGGTGGGGCCAGGAAGGAAAACAGGCTGGGAGTCATTCTTGTCTTCAGAATGCGACTCCTGTAGCCTTCAAGATTTAAAAAAGCAACCAAAGGTCCTGCTAACATTGTAAATAATGGTTTCCCAGTGTGACAACAAGGAAAACGCGGCTGATGAACAGGCATGGACTTTCCCAAGCACTGCTTTCTCAGAGCATGAGTGAGGGCGCAAAGAGCGCCCGCAGACGGGGCCGGCATACCTCTTGCAGGCACTCGCGGGTGCAGTGGCCCTCGGACTGGAACTCGGGCATGCCGGGGGGGATGGTGTGGAAGAGGCTCACCCAGAGGCCAGCCTCGATCACCCCGGCATCGTATTTCCTTATATCTGTTGTGTGAAATAGCCTCAGTCCAGAATTATCTATTAAGCCTGGAACAAGAGCATGTAATTAAAAGTGAGTTTGCGTTTTTTTAAAAAAAAAAATTCCCTATATTCAGTTGAAGAGGTTCATTCATTTCCCCTGAAATCTCACAAGGAAAAGCAATACAAGCAAAGATTAATGGAAAGCAACACTCAGCTTCACACATGGGAATTAAAAATCAAGTCGTCTGCCGGGCCGGGCGTGGCTCAGAGGTTGGGTGTCAACCTAGGATCCAGGCGATCAGGGTTCGATTCCCGGTCAGGGCACATGCCCGGGTTGCGGGCTCATCCCCAGTCGGGGGCGTGCGGGAGGCAGCCGACCAATGACTCTCTCATCACTGGTGTTTCTATCTCTCTCTCCCTCTCACTTCTCCCTGAAATCAATAAGGATACCTTAAAAAAAAAAAAGAAGCGTCTAAGAGGCTAAAATGAAAAACAAAAACAAAAAAACCACACAAATCATCATATTGCCTGCTGATATATTCCACAATTATCTACCATGAAGACAGAATGAAAACCCCAAGGTCATTCATCAGAACGTGGGAAAACTCAACCAAAGTCTTACACAGTTTTCAGGTAAAGTGCAGTAGCATTTACGTAGACGTGAAAAACGCCTGGTGGAGAAACCATCTGCTGATGGAGAAAGCCATCAATGATGAACTTTCTTTATAGTTTGTCACCGTTCTTCCACTCATTCAACAGTTATCCAATCAATACTAACTAGACTGTTATATGAAAAGCACTGCAACCGGCATTGTGGAATGAAGGATGAATACATCACCTTCCTTGCTGTGACATATTTATAAGGAGGGCAATGTGAACCCCAAACTTCATCAGTCTGTTCCACTAATTTTGAAATTAGTTGGCTCCTTCCTGCAAGTGGTGACTTACCTACCTATGAACACCAAATTGACCCTTTGGATGGATTAGCATGTATATAATCTTATATTAATTGGTGTGCTTATTTTATTGTTTCTCTTTCCCATGATACTGTAATTTCTACAAGGGTGAAAACAGTGTCTGTTTTTTATGAACATTATATTGTTAGGCACAGACCCAGCACGTAGTCGGTGTCCAGTATTTGCTGAATAATTGCACGAATCAATGTAAAAATAATAACTTTACTATCTTTCACTGTTTTGGTTTTGGAATATTACAGAAGTAAATTCTGAAATCAAATGTAAATACTTACCGCTCTTCATTTCAATATCATATCACACAGTGTCTCTGCATAAATACTTTTTGAGTATATTTATGGTTTGCCTACCACACAACAAAATGCTTAATATTTCCTAGTGTGATGAATGACAGTTTTTTACATGAGTAGTTAGAAAATGTTTCATAAGTACCTGTTTTGGGGGACTAATTTACACAACAAAGGAAAAAATGTCTATTCTTCTGCTTCCTGGTAAATTGTATGAAAATGCTTAAGATTAGTGGCCACAGGGCCCACTTGCCTTGTTCATCGCTGGTAATGACTCTTGTCCCCGTGTAATTATTAATAGCACCCCCTAATTCAGATCACCAACATATAAGTTAATCCTTTCTGACAAAGGATGCTATTTTATTTCAACTCTGAGACAGAAGTTACAAAACTTTTAAAAATGATAGGCAGAATATATGAAGAGAGAACTCACCGTCCTTATATGTCGGATTGTCATAGTGAACTTCCAGGAGCACATAAACAGGATCTAACGGAGTGCCGAGGGATAATCCAACATGAGGTGGATAGGAAAAACCCTAAATTAGGAGAATTTCATGAGAGAGTGTCCTAGGAGAGCTCCTGAAAGCTCTACTCCACTCAAAACCCAGCCATTCTCAAAAGAGATTTCAACATCCTGGAACTCCATTCATCTATAGGTGATAAAACAAAATGGCTTAAGAAAAGAATTACTTCTTTTGCAACCAAAAATAAGCCACCCTCCTATTAAAAAGCAGTATACCGAGCTTTACTTCTAAATACTGGAATCACAGGGGAAACATGACGGGTGAACTGTGCGACATCTCGGTCGTCTCAGCCCCACCTCTCCGCCGATGGCCCAGGCGAAGATGACGGTCTCGCAGGTGTGGAAGGCGTCGGGCATGTTGGGGTGGTAGCACTCGTGGCCGGAGCCCAGGACGCTGGCGTTCAGGCCGCTGCTGCACTGGTAGAGCAGGACGTGGTGGACCAGGCTCTCGTGGCCTCTCTGTATCACGGGCTCCACCTAGAGGCAGGGCAGAGCCAGGGTGCGTGAGCCCGGCCGCCGCGCAGGCCGCGCACGCCGTCAGCGTTTCAGAGAAGTGGGTTTCCCCATGGGCGAAGGCTCTGAGGCTCACGTACAACCTGTTTTGACGACGATGACAACGATGACAACGACAACGACCATGCCAACGACAAGGAGGAGACAGCTGCTTACTCCAGGAATCCCGGGGCTTTACCAACCGGTGTGTTCTAACTCACTTTTGTTTCCCTTACCATGCCGCATAACAGATGTTTCAAAGTTTGCTTTCCCTCTTCCAGGCTTTACTTTGCCCTTGCTCGTCTTCACTCTTTTTTTTTTCTATTTTTCCAAATAGAAAAAAAAAAAAAAAATCAAGACCTTTTAGGCATAAACTCCATCGGCCTCCCTCTCTTCCACCTCTAAAGGTTTTCTGTACTAATCCTTACTGGAGGTGCCGCATGATGTGTCATCTACCTACCTTTCAGATGCTGAGCACAGAGATGGGCTCGAAGGAGGGTTCAATAGTGGATATTGTTATTTTAGAATTTATTTTATTTCAGAATTTAAAAAAAAATTCTGTTAAGAATTTACTTAGAGTTTGGGAGAAAAGAAAAGAAAACATTGTAGTGATGTACTCCTGTGACACCCCTCAGATTAGGAGAGGGGAGGTAGAAACCAGCAAAAATAGAATGAACAGTGAGGTTCGTCCTCACAGTGAAAGCAGGTCCAGGCGAGCACGCTCCTACCATTGTTCCTTCTGCGAGTTCCCCTCATAACTCTCTCCCATTCAGTCCAGGAGCCCAGAGAGGGCTAAGCGTACCCTCAGATCACAAAGAGCAGCATACCCAGAGCAAACGTGCGGACCCTGGGCTTGGCCTAGCTGGGTTAGCGGTGTTGCCAACAGTTACATGGTTCTTCGAGCCTTCTGTTATCTGACAAAGAAGCCCTGGTGCATCCCTAAATCTCTAAAAGATTAGCGGTCTGAGGGCTAACTACTTTTAGGCTTAACTACTCAAGTGCAGGCAACGCATTTTTCTGCTTTTAGGCTTAACTACTCAAGTGCAGGCAACGCATTTTTTTGGTAAATCCTCACATGAGGATATTTTTCTATTGACTTTTAGAGAGAGTAAAAGGGAGGGAGGGAAGGGGAGAGAAAGAGAGAGAGAGAAACACTGATGTGAGAGAGACATCAATTGGCTGCCACCCGCATGGGCCCCGACGCTGGGCTGGACCCTGCAGCCCAGGTACCTGCCCTTGACTGGGAACCAAACCCGAGAGCCTTTGGTGTGAGGGTCTCACAAGAAAGTGGGGTGACACTCTAACCACTCACTGGCCACTGCCAGGCAATGCGTTTGCTTCAGACATGGGTAATAAAGAGGAAGCGTTTTCAGCCATTTTTGCCTAAGGCTTCCCATTTTGATTTTCTACATAGTTTTATCTTTTAAAAAAAAAAAAAAAAAAGTAAAATCTAAGCAGCAGAAGAGGGAAATGGTACATGGTAGGTAGAGACCTGAGTAGGCAGCCAAGGATTTGAGTTTTTAACCCAGCTTTATTTTCTGCTGCACAGTGAGTCATGCCTTACTTAGCATATGTACATTTTAACATCACATGCATAGAAAGGACACTGCCCACGGCTCTGTCTACACTTGTCTCTGAAATACTGTGAGCCCTCAGAAATTATTTTCTATTTTACTTGGAAATGACAGTTATTATTCAAGCATGGTTGCATAATATACAATGATTACACAAACAGGTAATCCAGGATTTCTACTGGGTTTTAGTTCCCACATCTAGTTTAAGCTTCCTTGTTAGACTTGATTTATTTGGGCACCTCAGTACTCCAGGGGGGCACCGGGCACTGGTAATATGTCCACCGTAAAATATTTAGGCACATGTGGGATTTTTGTTAAGTTCAGGAAGAACCTATAGGTTGTACTGAGCTCTAAGACAGGTCCTGGAAAGGAATTGTTAGGGAAAATAGCTGGCTGTTGCCAAGGCAGCCACAGAAACTAGTGGTCTTCATCGAGGCATGGCAAGAGTGAGCTAAGAGTGTGCATGCGGAGATGTGAGGCTGGGTGGTGACTAAGATGCTTAAAAATGGGCAAAGGACTTGAAAAGACACTTCTCCAAAGAGGACATACAGATGACCAACAGACATATGAATAAGTGCTCAAAGTCACTAATCATCAGAGAGAAGCAGATTAAAACCAAAGTGAGGTGTCACCTCACATCTGCCAGAATGGCTACTGTCAATAAAACAACACACAAATGTTGGCGAGGGTGTAGAGAAAAGGGAATCCTTGTGCACTGTTGGTGGGAATGGTGCAGCCACTGTGAAAAACAGTATGTAATTTACCTCAGAAAATTAGAAATGAAACTGCCTTATGACCCAGTGACTCCACTTCTGGGAATTTATCCAAGGAAACTGGAAACACAAATTTGAAAAAATATATGCAGCCCTATGTTCATTGCAGCGTTATTTACAATAACCAAGGTTTAGAAGCAGCCCAAGTGTCCCTCAGTAGATGGGTAGATAGAAAAGCTGTGGGGCATTTACACAATGGAATACTACTAGGCCATAAAAAAGGAGGGGGAGGCACCCCAGTGCTCCACAACACATCCTACTTGTTGGCTAAATGCAAGCATTAAACACTACTCTCTCTTGTCTATCCAGTAACTGTTCATGGGAAAAACTTTTCCTTTTGCATCACTGTGGTGTTTGGAACAATGGTGTAGTTATACATTTTTTTATTAAAAGTATTTCTGAAAAAATAAGGCTGTAATGAATCATTGCTCTAAGGAGCAGAACTTCAAAAAGGTGCCCTATTTTGATCACTTCACAGATGTCACATTATTATCACAATCAAATGGGAATGCCAAGGGTTGTCTCTATTCAACAAATACTAAACTTACAGAAATTGTCAAAGAAGGCATGGCAACATAAAGTATGTAAGTCTAGATTGTTATTTCTGAGGCTGAAATGAACATTTAAATTGTGTTTTAGGCTGGCTCTATGATTGCAGAAGAAATAAATATAAAGCAATATAAAGCAGTGCATATGGAAGTGGGTGGCAAAGACACAAACACCCGATGACATATTAAAGCGTGTTATTGATCACTGAGTTCTTGATCGCATACGTGGGATTTACAGACATACCTTCAAATGATTAGACGCCAGGCGAGCTTGGCAGCTGGAGGTTATCTATTAACCTCTGTGCATAGTAAAGGAACAGCTGAGGAACCAAAACACAGATGAAAGTGAAGGAGGGAATAAAGAATTGCTAAGAATAGCCAAGAGCAAGTGGAAATTAACATCGACCATGACACTGAGCCTGGAAAGTGAAAGGCCCCCAATATTTATGCAGTTCCCGGTGACCTGTCCTCTGCTCTTACCCTCTTTATCCAGGTCAAATGTGTCTAGCACAGTCCCTGCAACACACAGAGACTGCTCAATAACTGTTTGCTCCGTGGAAATGAGTAAATACTCCCCTTTCTCTGAAGCCAGCATTAATAAGGCTGAGTCACCAAGTTCAAATCCACTGCCTTCTAATTTCTGGGTTGGCTCAATTCCATTGACATACCCTGCACTGAACTTCAGCACCCCCACTGCCCCACCCCGTTCTTACAACCACTGAGGGCTGCACCCCCGCGGAAACTCTCTTTCCATCCCTCTTCCCTCCTCCTTTAGTTTTTCCACACCCTTCCAGACACTCAACCCACCACTTTTCCCCAGGAGGCCACCTGAACTGCTTACTCACTCACCAGGCCCTCGAAGTCGACCCAGGCCCTCATAACCGTCAGTCAATCCTGTGAGCTGCCCCTTCTGATCCCCCACTTGGGATACTGAAGATACTTCCACAACTTATTCACATAAGACCTCAAAATTCATGATTCACACCCGTGCCTCCACGTGAGCCTTTCTTTATCTTGCTCTGCATCCTGTTCCTTGGCTACGAATGGGCACAACTTCCAGCGAGTGGGAGGACTCTGCCCCATTGCAAACCTTTAAGAATCTGTGCGTACCTCCTAATCAGCCCTCTGAAAACGGCTCAATTATTTTGGTGAGAGAGGAATGGATGTCTGTCTACACTAGCTGCATGAGGCCAGTTGGGGGTAGAACTTGATGCAAAGAGCAAAACGATTGAAAAATCTTAAACACCAGCAACCTATTCCACATATTCAGTTTTTTCAAAGTATATAAAATTTTATAAAGTAATGAAATGATCCAAAGAACCTCACGTGATGTCGTCTTCTGGTTAGGATAGAATAAGAAGGGATAAGTGAAAAAAAAACAACCACCTTCTAAGTGTCTCAGAATTCCTTAGAACTTAGAACTAAGGCACTATTTCAAAACAGGAGGTAAGAAAATCTCAGGGGAAATACGTTACCTTTCTGTGGTTGGAGCTGGGGGGGAGTGGGTCCTTGACAAAACTGTGCCTGCCTCCTGGTCTCCCTTCACCAGCGAATACTGTAAACAGATTCAGTTCAAAAAGGACTCCTCCTCAAAGCCACTCAGCATCAGTAAACTTAAGAATCCACGTTCTTTTGACCCTTCAAATACCAATTCCCTAAACAGTAACACTTACTGAGAGGAATATCGGGGGTTTTTTTGCTATTTCCCCTGTACTGGGGTGAATGGTATCCCTCCAAAATTTATGACCACCCAGAACCTGAGAATGTGACCTTCTTTAGAAATAGTGCCTTCTGTAGATGTAATTAGTTACGAGGTCACACTGTCTTAGGGTGGGGTCCTAAAGCCAATGACTAGTGTTTTCATAGAAAAGGAGAGGGAAATTCAGATTCAGACACACAGAAAGAGACAATGGCCATGAGAAGACAGAAGCAGATACTAGAATCAAGTTGCCACAAGCCAAGGAATGCCAGAAACCACCAGGAGCTGGAAGAACCAAGGAAGGATTCTTTCCCAGAGCCTGCGGAGGGAGCATGGCCCTGCCGATGCCTAGATTTTGGACTTCAGGCCTGCAGAGCTGTGAGAGAATAAA